GCTCTAATATGATTTCAGAAACCCATTCCGCATCTGGCCCAGATGGTCAAACCTTGTCCAGGCCCCAGCTGGGAGAGCACCTCTGGGCTGGGCAGAGTGCCACGTTCTTAAAAATACTTTCTGGGTCTCCTCTGAGCTTCTGCTTAAGGAAGGCAAGTGATTTACTCTTCAAATGACCTCTCTCTCCTTAGAAAAGAACGCATGGAATGAAAGTGCTGGGGATGCTTTGGGTGTCCCCACAAGTGTTTGACACAAGAGGTGTGAAGGAGCAAGAAGGGGCCCCCACCCATGGACCATGTAAAGAACGTTTTGTCCCAGCCCTATGATACCTGCCCTCGGCCAGCGAATCCAACCACAGTACAACTGGTGGCGCCTGTCAAATTAAAACTGAAATTGACTTTAAGGTAAAAATGTATCATGTTCAAGATCTAGGGCTGCGTCTTCTCATGAGTAGTATCTCATGTAGCATTTCTCAAAGCGTGGTCTGGAGACCTCCCTGCCTCAGAATCAGGGGACCTGTGTCAATTGCAAATTTTGGGTCTCTAAATCACCCGCCAATGTGTGGGAGCGAGAGCCAAGAACTCACATTGCAGCAACCTCCCAGGCAATCCTGATATACCCCAAAGTCTGTGAGCCATTGAACGGAAAAAAATCTTTCATACATTTTTAAACCATCACAACAATTGTGGCAGCAGAGACTAAGATTGGCTTCTTTTTGCTAACGTCCATGTGAACTTGTTAACTGTAGATCTGTCGTAAGGAAAGTTTGGAACACAAAAAGCGAGGCCTACTTAAAGTCTTTGTTTCTGCTGACTGAAATGTGTGTCTTGTCCTTTTGCAGTTATGGGTCATCACGTGCCCAAGAATGGTATTTCTAAGAAATTGTTCCTTTGCGTCTTCTGGGAAGAATTTGTCCTTCAATATGTGTGACTGCAACATGTTGATAAAAGAAAAACAATAAAACAAATTTGTTGAATTTCTCATCTTTCTGAAGTGTTGAATTTCTCATTTTTATGAAGGAACAGTTTTTAAGGCATAAAAAAGCAATTTAGTGAAACTTACTATTCACGATCTTCCATGAAAGGATATGTATGTCCTGTGTATTCATGTACTGATTCATGCACATGTGATCACCCATGTCTGAGGTGCCCAGTCCTCAAAGAGCATGCTTTCTGGAATTTCACTATACACAAATCTAGAATGATGTTGCCAAAAGAATGCTGACATTAGATCAAAGTAGCCAAGAGTCAAATAGAGCATTGACCAAATTCAGATACATTTGGGTGGATCTAAATTGCTTATTTTAGGACAAAGTGAATGTTTTAGTTTCAACTTTTTAGTTTTAAACTATCAGGTTAACTTAAACAATCTATTACATTGGACAACAATGATGCCTCCCTCCCACCCTGCCCCCCAAAAAACAAACGGATCTTCAACCGAATAGTTCTTAATCACTGGAAAATCACTAACCCTCTGAAACACTCAAACTATTGCATCTAGTGACCACATGAAGACATCAATAACAAAACAAAGCCACAATACTCTTAAGAACAATGGAACCTTTTAGCCATTAAGGAAGCTCTCTTTGCATTTCATTTAGTTAACCTAGAGATACCAGGACGACCCCCCCAAAAATTGGAGTGAACAAAGAAAGTTCCTTCCTCCACCGTGTGACTCTGGAGAGTCTTGAAAGTGTGTAGCCAAAAAAAAAAAAAATTGTTAGTTTTAGAGGAGATGCAGTTAATTATTTTGCCCGGAGGTCCATACAAAGTCCAGCCATGCTTCTCTAAATCATTTTCAGGTCCTCTTACAACTTCCCTATTCCATCATAGTGATAGAGACCCACCTTTTTCCTGATAAACATGAAATGTCATTTTATAAATGAGGGCGGTACAAAGATGCCAAGATTCTGTGTTTGTGCGTGTGCGCGTTTCCTTTTCTCGATCAAGATGAGAATGAAAAAAATGTCAGGTCTGAAAATATTGCAGAAAAAAAATCCCCTCGAAGTATTTTAAATAAAGGGCATTTAATACAGGAAACTGTTTAAGCAGGTGAGGAAAGCTCTAGAAGCCGAAGGGGAGTGAAGGAAGGGCAAGTCGGCAACAGCAGGAAGCTGCTAGCCCCCCAGGCTAGAGAGTCAAAGGGAGGAAGGGCACTGCCAGAGCCAGGAGCTGGGTCACCCAGCACCCATGGTGGGCACTGGGGAGCTGGAGCCATGCGGGAGATGCAGCAGCTGCTGAGATGCTCCGTGAGGCAGAGGGAGTAGGGGAGAGATGCCCTGGCTCCTTCCTCTTCCCACTCCCCGACCTGCTGCCAGTGTTGCCCCTGAGCCAAACTCACCTGGAGCCTGGAAAACTCAACTGCAGGAGCCGGTTCCTCTGTGATCAGCGCAGGGGAGCGGGGAGGGAGGGGTTTGACCCGCACATTGCCCCGCTGGGACCACGGCGGGACTGACTTCCTGCCAGAAACACGGAACTCATTTCTAACCCCTAGCAGAACCACAGCGCGACAGCCCCTAAGAATGGATCACACCTTTTAGAAATTCCTGTTTGGAATGGGCTTGTGAAACTGGGGTGAAGACGCTTTACGAAGCCATCCTAATTCTTTCCAAGGAAAAGTCTATGTCTTTGGAGAGTTGTATTAACTCATACTGTTTAGCTAATATATTGACCTAATATGGCAAAGAAAACGTAGCAAACATCATTAGAATAACAATCCATCTGCCAAGTGCATCTTTGATGGGAAGACGATTCATGCTGAGAACTGTAAATAACTTTCTTTCCATTTCTATACCGCTTCTGTCCTCCCCAAACAGATAGTCTGGAACCCCACTTACTTAATGGCATGATCTGGCTTTTAAAAAAAAATAAACTTTAAAATTTTAAAATAGTTTTAGATTTATAGAAAAATTGCCAAGATGGTACAGAGAGCTCCCATAGGCCCCCAAACCCATTTTCCTTTATAATTAACATCGTATAGTAGTATGTTCAGCTGTTACAAATGAATCAATACTGATACATTTTTATTAATTAAAGTCCATACTTTATTTTAATTTCCTTGGTTTTTTAAAAAAATAATGTCCTTTTACGTCCTTTTTCTGTTCCAAGATCCCATCCAAGATTCTACATCACGGGTCTTCGTCTTGTCTCCTTAGGTATCCCTTGCCTATGACAGCTTCTCACACGTCTTTGGTTTTCGTTGACCTTGACAATTTTGAGGAGTATTGGTTAGGCAGTTTGTAGAATGCCCCTCAATTGAGATTTGTCTGATGTTTTTCTTATGATTAGACTGGGATTATGGGTTTGGGGGAGGAAGAGGGCAAAATGCCATTTTCATCAAGTCTTATACACACTGTCCACCTGATTTATCACTGCCGATGTTGACCCCGAGACAGTGTCTGTCAGATTCCTCTACTGTAAAGTTACTCTTTTCCCTCTTTTTCCATAGAGTCCTCTGGTGAAGGAAGTCACTATGTGTGGCCCCCACATGAAGGCTGGGAAGTTATGCCCCATCTCCTTGAGAATGGAATAACTACGTAAATTATTTGTGATTCTTCTGCCCTGGAGATTTGTCTATTCTGCTCTGCTTTCTTATTTATACAATCATTTATATCACTGTGAACTCATGAATGTTGATTATTATTGGGTTTATAATCCAATCTGTATTTTCTTGCTCAAAATTTTCCCAACTTTGTTCAATGGGAGCTTTTCCAGTTGGTTTCTATGTCCCTTTTACGTACTCCCATTGTTATGGGGTGTTTTCCCTCTTTTTTGGGTGGGAGGATGGAGCACTCTCTTACTTTTTGGTACTACAATAAGTCCCAGGCTCATCTTATATATTTCCTGCTCCAGTCCTAGAATAAGCTATTTCTCCAAGGAGCCCTAGATCTTTATGCTGGAGAATAGTTTTAGAAACCAAGATCTAGGCATTAGATGCGCTCGATTTGGTCATTTTTAATCTATCATTTCCTAAACGTATACCTTATCCCAGTGCCAACTTTGGGCAAGACTCTGGAGCAGAAAAGACAAATGAAGTGAAAATACTTCTATTCTTCCATGGTCCAAGAGAAGTGCTGCCCATGGGGTGTGAACAGAGCTTCACGGTAATTGGAAGGTGGAAGGAGCAGGTATAGACCAACTGGGCATATAGATCAGAGAAGTTTTTGTTCTTGATTCTAGATTTACCTCCTATCTTCTAGGCCCGTATCTTATTTACTCCTCCATGAGAGCATCTGTAATATCAGCCTGACCTGAGTTTGCATTCTGGCTCTGCCAGTTATTAGCTATGTGACCTGGAGTAAGTTTCTCAACTACACCGAACCTTGGTTTCTTCATGTGTAAATTGAGGATGCTAATAGAACCTATCTTTAGAGGCTGTTGGGAAGACTAAGGAGAAGGCATGCAGAATGCTTGGCATACTGCTGGGCACAGTAAATGCTGGCAATCAGTGCAGTGACAGCTAGGGTCCCTCCTGGAGCAACACTGTCTTTAGAGTATCAGCTAATTCTTAGGACAGAGTTACAGAAGAGGCTGTAATTAATACAGGCTGTCAAGGCAGAGCCAAAGAAGTGACTGTGGAACGATCTGACTCCTGAGGTCACAGTTAAGTCTGTTCTGCAGATGACTTTGCTTTTGAGAAGTAAACCATAAATGATCAAGGTCTGTGGTCACCTGACATTTGGTGGCTCAGCACAAGCTCTAGCACCAGGAGGTGAGGAGTCATCTGCTGCCAATAAATCCCCGTGATTCATGCCCATAAAAATACATCAGTACAGCCTCCAACATTGACGTCTTCTTGATGTTCCAGAAAGGACCGTCATGCTAGGGTTCCCCACCCCTGAGCTGCTCCCATAGTCAGTGACAATGTGGCTAGAAAATGGTTTCCTGTCCTGGAAGGAAAATAAGACTTACACTAAGCCTTCTCAGAAAGAAAGGTTTGAGCCATTTTAGGAGCAGGCAAAGAATAGATGGCTTAGTGTATCCCAGGAGCCTTAAAATAGAACCTACTATGGTGGTTGTGGTCATCCTGTTTGGTATTTTTTGATACTTGATGGAGGGTGTGGCAGTTTCATTTGGTGTTTCTTTTACCTGAAAAGCATTTAGAGCAGTGATTCTCAAGGTATGGTCCCTGGACCAGGAGCAGTGGTGTCATCTAGAAACATGTTAGAAATACAGATTCTTGGGTTCTATCCCAGACCTACTGAGTCAGAAACTCTGGAGGTGAGCCTGCATCCCTCCCCTGCCCACAGCAATCCATGTTTTAATAAGCTCTCCAGATGCCGGCTAAAGATTAAGAACCATTGATCAAAAGGATGCAGGACTTTCCAAAACTTTCCATATTAAACTTAAAGATGTTCTGAACTCTAAACACCTTGAGAGACTGACTCTTGCATATGACTTTAATTAAGAGCACAATGAATGTTTATTGGATGAATTAATTTAAAAACTGAAGTATTAAATTAAAATTTAAGACATCGACAGCACCAAGTGTTGGTGAGGATGTGGAGAAAGAGAAACTCTCATTCATTGCTGGTGGGAATGCAACATGGTGCAGAGACTTTGGAAGTCAATTTGACAGTTCCTTAGAAAACTAAACATTATGTAAACCAGCTATCACACTCCTTGGTATTTACCCAAAGGAGCTGAAAACTTATGTCCACATGAAAACTTACACGTGGATGTTTATAGCTGCTTTATTCATAACTGCCAAAATGTGGAAGCAATCAAGATGTCCCATCAGTAGGTGAATGAATAAATGAACTGTGATACATTCAGACAGTAGAATAGTATTCAGTGATAAAAAATAAATGAGCTAACAAGACTCGAAAAGACATGGAGGAAACTTAAGTGCATATTTCTAAGTGAAAGAAGCCAATCTGAAAAGGTTACATACTGTATAAT